TCTTTTAATTCTTGCTGTCGATATCACATAACTTTAATTTAAGGTTTGTTCTTTTCAGCATAACTTCTTGCATGGTTCATTTTTTTCCTCTTTTTCTATTGGAGAAAATGAAAAGATGCAAAAAGTTCAGCTAAAAAGAGGCCTATTGTAGCAAACGTACAAAGTGGACTTTGCAACAGTTTCTTATAACACAAATGAGTAATCCAATGCAGTAGAATGTCATTCTGACCTATGTTAATGTGCTGCTTCATTTCTCAAAGCAGATGATTGGAATATAATAATTTTTTGTGATGGTATAGGTGCTGGGGATGAAAATTTGTTTTCTACATTGGAAAAGAATTTACTCCAAGCTATACCTACGGAAACTTGGGGCTACTTTTGTGCCATTTTCCAGAGATATTTTGCCTACTGACAAAGATTGGCATCTCATAAAGCAACCAATCTTTCATATTTATTGGACAGAATGTTCTGTAAGTCCTCCATTTGAATTAGTTTCTTATTATATATAAAACATATTTGTACATTGAATGATATATATCTTTCATTTATTATATTAAATATATATTAAAAATTACATTTTAAATTTATTAAAATAATATTAAATTATTTTAAATAAAAAGTTATTATTATTACGATATTAGAAGCATCAGAGATTACATTATTTAATATTCATGTTCTTAATTTAACAAATAAATTTTCATATTACATATTCTTCTAGGATATTGATACTTATAAGACTAGTGTCAGAGATGATATTGATGCCTGGTTAAAAATACTAAATTTATATCATATTCAAGATTGGATGATTGTATTAGTAGAAACATATGATGTAAAGAAGGCCAATAAATTGTTGCCTAGGACTACTGTCTTAGATAAAATACGAAGTGACTTTGCTGCTAAAAATGGCGACAGGTAATACGATATGATCTTTTATATTTAATCTTGTAACGTAATATAGACATGTATTTATATCCATAATCTGACAGATGCTTTGCTGTAATTAATCCAATTAAATCTGAATCTCGTTCCGCGGAATCATGGAGAGGCTTGATAACTCGTATTCGTCATTTGATGTTGACTGCATATGATAGAACCCTGTCGCGTTTTGAAGATATTATACGTGAACAAAGAGAAAGGCGGAACAATCCTAGTTGGAATTTCTGCCATTATTTTCTTTTACAGGTAATATAATACTTGCTATAAATTCTCATTTCTATTGAATTATCATAAAGTTAAATGTTAAATAAAATATGGATTCCCGAAATTATAATATATCTAATTTTTTTTTTCATTTATAATATCTTGTAATATAATCATCCTCTCTCAGTTTTCCAATCTCTTATAAAAGAATATATTTATCTAATAACTAGAATATACTTGACTAGTAATATCCTTGAGGATTAAAATTAAACTCCAGATTCATTGACGAATTGATCGCTCTCTATGGAACGACATGTTACCTTCTGAATTTTTTAATATTAATTTTGAAACTTGTACTTTTCCCATTATTTAATTGAATTGACATTTTAGGAAGAATTGGCATTTGTATTGCAAATGCTGGGTTTGTACGATGAGGCATTGGTGCAGTATGATGAACTAGACGCTCTCTTTACACAGTTTGTGCTCAATTCTAATGTAGGAGGTATTATGGTTCATTTTTTAAATATTTAGTTTGTATTAAAGGTGTACATTATGCAATAAGAACAGATATTGAGATGCAAAGTGAAAACCTAAATATAGATAAACTGTTTATAGATACTCCAGGATGGTTAGGTCTATTTCAAACGCCTCTAAACAACTGGGGAGGTGTGAATTTAAATAACACAAATCATCGTCTGAGGTTTCTTTTGGCTGAATGTAGGGCATCTTTATTAGATCTTAGGAGTTATTTGTTTAGTAGACAATGTGCCATGCTACTCCTGCTTAATAAACCTTGGGAGGTTCGTATAAATTCAACAAATTATTGGTAATTTAATAGCTTCATATAATTATCATATTTTATAATTGTTATTGAATATTCTTGACAGGTTGCACAAAGGTGCTTATCGTTTGTTCATAATACATTAAGTGAGCTAAGAATCTTAGAGGTACAGAAACCTGAAGGCTCTATAGAATGCTGGTCATTCCTTTGTGCGTTAGAGGTTTTGCAAGCATGTCAATTGTGCACCAATAATATCGATAACAATCAACAATTAGACTTGTGCTCTTTACATACAGCTAGTTTGTGGGCACTTGCAAGAGACAAGGTAAATAATTTGCTATATTATGTTTGATATTATTTTATTTATTTATTATTTGCTAAAATAATTAAATAACATGTAATTCTTCTTGGATTATTTCTATTACATGTTTTTTATATATATCGTATTATGTGTATATTTTTCTTTTTTAGTTAGGAAGCTTAGGAAAATTGTGCGGCCTAATGCCAGGAAGTGAACCAACTAGTGAACAGTTGCATACAGTTGTGTATCTTATAGCAGGTATAGGAGATTCAGAGCCACAGGTAGAAAGAAAATTAACACCTACAGACAAGTTAAAAGAGGCACTTTCATCTAAAGAAGCATTCAAGAAACAGTATTTGGAACATGCAGAATTAGCCATGGGCACATACAAACATGTCGGCCGTATTCGATCAGCCAGATTAATTGGCAAAGAATTGGCACGATTCTATAGCGAACTCGGAGAAAATCAGAAAGCAGTAGCGTTTTTATCTGATGCTTTAAAAACTTATATGGACGAAGGATGGCATCACTTGGCAGTGCAAACACAGTTGGAGCTAGCCGAATGTTACAAACGAATGGACGACGTCGAGAAATATACTAAAGTGTGCGCGGCAGTAGCTAGCGCAAGTCTTTTGCATATAACTGTACGCAATACATATTTGGAAGAAATGTTAGGATATATGAAAATGATCTCTTCACCTCAACCATTACTCGCGGAACTCGGATGTGCTTTTACAATACTCAGTATGGAAGCTAAAGTAATGGATAAGATAGTTCAAGATTGTGTAGTTAACGTTGAAATCAGTGTACAGAGTTTATTTCCTCGAGAAGTAAGATGCACTAGCGCCGCTATTTCTGTAGAAGAAATGCAAAAGCCATCTATACCTAATAAGAAAAAAGGATTAAAATCTATTGACCCTCCAGTTCAATTGTAAGTATTAATGAATGAAATTATAAATATTTTTATTCAAAAATTTCATATATAATGTTTAATATATAGAGAAGAAATTCTAAAATAAAATTGTAAAAAATAATATATTTACATTATTATTTTAATATCATATTTACAATAGTGTTTATTTTATTTTTTTATTTAATATTTTCTGTTTTCTATACGTTAAATTTTTCTTCAACATTGTTTTGTTGCTCAGGTTATCAAAGTGTACATTAGAAGATATGAAACTACTTGATCTCAGTTTATTACGTTTGCAAGTATATTCTTATTTGGATTACAAGGAAGATAGAAGTCTTGGTTCTGCTAGCATTATTAGTAAAAACATGAAGCCGCTCGTGAGACGTTCAGATAGCGCAAAACATAGAAAGCCTTCAATTAATATAAAGGGTGATTTTAGCAAAGCACTTTCCTGTGATGAATTTGTTATGAAACCTGGTGTAAATACATTTGTCTTAACAAGACAAGTGAATCAACCGGGTTTATACAAAGTTAGCCAGTTATCATTGGTGATAGAAGAAAAATTAGAATTTTTATCATCTGTACTAAATCCAAGATTATGCTATGAAGTAGCAAAGACACAGCCAACGATATCCGTAAAATGTGGCAGAGATTTATTGGCAGGTCTTTCTCAAGATATTGAATTGGTTATATCGAGCGGAAGTACAAAAATAACTGAAGAAATGAAATTAAAATTACGTACATCGCGCGGATTGACAGTACAATCACAAAGTGTTGAAAAAGTAATGGTAAAAGAGTTAGAAATACCACTGCCAACGTGTGAACCATTTCAAACCATAAAAATACAGTTAATGATTTTAGCTGAACTACCACCAAAGAAGGATTCTTCATCTATGGAACATAAAGTATTTAATATTTATAATTTATATTAGTCTCTTTTATGCAATAAATATCATAATTTGACATTGTTTTCAGTTGAATATTCAATGTCCATGGGGTTCGGAAGAAAGTATACCTTTGCATTTTGGTCCACCATTAATGTCAAGTATGAAACTTCACACAGCAAAACAAAGAAAATTCATTCAAATAGTCGTAACTGGTTTGACAAGTCAGCTTCTACAATTAACTGAGCCTGAATTAATGACAATTTCGTCAATAGACGTTAACTTTAAAAGTTTAAATCCTATTGCGGGTCAGAAATTAGTTATAGGTAATGGAATGAACGTTTCCTTTATGTGGGAACTTGAAATTGGGAAAGATGAGAAATCCACGATACCAATAAAGACTGACTTTCGTGTAAAATATATATCAGTTAATGATACTGAAGAATTAAATGATACACATGTTGATGATGATCCATTACATATACATAATCTAGAAAGAATTGAGAAAGCATGTAGTATTTACAGATGCAACTTTGATATTACAGATTATGTGGTAAGAAAAACTACTAATTATTAATTGATATGTTAAATGTATATAATTACATATTGTATACTTTCTTCAAAATATTTTATTTATTTTAAATAAGAAGTCATGGATTAATGGCAATCTGTAATAATGTAGTATCTATGCTACTTGTAAAAACTGATGCTCTGTATTCTTATTATATATTAGGAATATATAACTTATTTTTGTAACGATGCTTTCCAGACTTTATTCACAGTATCCTCGAAAGTCGAAACAAGTGGTGGAGAGTTTTGTCGTGCTGGTAGTATGTGCCACTTGTGTCTTACAGTCATGCGCATACCTAGTCTTAGTTCAAATCCTCCACCACAGTTAATGTACGAGGTTTTGGCGGACCAAACTATGTGGGCGGTATGTGGTCGGACAGCAGGCATTGTATCATTAGAAATAGTAGAGAAACAAAGTGTTACATTAGATGTAATGCCTCTGACAAGTGGTTATTTGCCTCTCCCTGTTGTTAGATTATCTCGTTATATACCTGCAACAGAATCGAAAAATGGTAAGTTTAAATATTTTGCATATTATGCCTAAATATTACTTAGATTATTTAATTTGTGAACAAATTTATCTAATTTTCATCGAAAATTATCAATTATAATTTCAAAGAAAAAGATATTACGTTTACCTCTAAGTTGTATGAATTTCTGTAATTGTTTTATTTGTTTCCATTTTAAGATATCGTCCGTAATAAAAATGATTTAGGATCCGGTCCTCGATTAGAACCATTTAGTCCGGGACAAGTGTATAATGCCAGTAAAGCACAACAGGTGCATGTTCTGCCAGCAGTTCCATCAGAATCTAATTAAAGATGTATAAATTTGTTGTTAAAGATGTATACATGTTCTTTGATTTTGTGCGTAACGAGTCATGAACATCTTTATTTAGGAAAAGTTTTAGAAGTAATTGCAAGTTGTTTTTTGTATCAAAGTGAATATATAATTATGTAAATACCTCATTTTAAATTCGTAGTAGATAAGACTTATGTTATCATATAAATTAATATTTTGAAATAATCAAATCGGCGTTAAGTACAATAGTTTAATATTTATTTATTTCTATAAGATTCATAGTTCACTTCAATTTTCTATTACCAAAGCCACTCATCTTTAAAAAAAAATGAACTTTTTGATTAATAATTATGATAATGATGCCATAAAATGTCCTTATTTAAAAATTATGAAGATTCTAAAGTTTCTAGCTAAATATATACTCAAATTTTGTATTGAAACATTGTATTTAACATATAATTATTACATTTTATAATTGTATTAAATTTTATCTGAAAGTAATCATGTATAATTGCAATAATATGAGACATCTAGGATATAATTACAAAAAATATTACAGAAAATATTCGATTTCTCAACAATTCTCAATAATTCAGTTATGATAAATATTGAGAGAACTTGCTATCTAAATCCTAATTATGTACTTATATATATTTGTCATTTTACGTATACGATGTTTTCTTTCATTTTCTATTTTCTTTTTTGTCCCACATTTATTTACAATTCAACAGCTGAACTTGTTTATTCTATCATTTTTATGTTTAAATATTTTAGTACCATCTTAGTATCTTAAGAAAAATGGTAATATAAGAATTTTTTTCTTTTATAAAATACAAATACATGTAAAATTTGTACAAATACTTGTTAGCAATATACTCATAAGCTTGTGAATAAATGTTACATATTTTTACTATGTTAAATTGTAACATATAGTAAATCCTTATGGATATAAATTTGATACGTAAACGTAGGAATTTATTTAATGCTGTGTAAAAATATATTGTGTTCGTTTAATAATACTTATAGTTCAATTAAAAAATATATCTATGAAGAAAAACAATTTACATTATACTTGTTAGTATTTGTTCATCAGAATTGGATTACTAGATATATTTTTCTTGTGTTGCCATGTTTTCTAGAATATTATTAATCTTCTTTTATAATTTTTTAATTTTATAAATGTAAGATAATCACAAAATACTCTCAATTATTCATAGTCATTAAGTTCCAGATATTTTAAAATTTATACAAAACTATGTTTATTATATCAATTTTTTGTGGAAAGTATTTCTATTAAATGACGTAATACATTTATGCTATCTATTATATTTATTACATATTTAGCGAAAATATCTATTTTTATTATATTTGTTGATCCTATGTTTAAAATATGTATAGTCAAATCATTTTTTAATATAATAATGATAATATAATTTTGGTGGTAATATGTTGTACCAAATATTTATATATAAAAGTTGGGGATGCATAGTTAATAAAATATACTTTAATCAAATATTTTGTGTTATATTCTAGATAAAATGTCACTATTATTTGAATAAAGCTACTTTTTAAAATATTGCAAAAGATCGCGTATAAGTTTAAATTAACTAAAATATATATTTAATTATATATTTTTCTAATATTTGTTAAAAAATTCAATTTGATCAGTTCAATATACTTACAATTATAATGTGAACTTGTATATTATATTTCCTATGCAAAAAAGGACTTCATTTATAATATTCAAACAATAAACATTTACAATGTCCTAATTTAATACTCAAAATTGTGTGCGTTGTAGTATATACTTAAAGAATAAACAAATCAAATATTACATATATCTATTTAAATAAATTTGTAATATTACATCTTAGTTTTTTTTAGATTAGAGTTATGTAGTAAGCATATATTTGCATTCATTTATATTAATATATGGATATATTTTATATGGATATCATATTGGTATTACAACTACACACACACATATACAATTTGTGATATATAATCTTCAAAATTCATAAAAATGGAAAAAATTAATTCGCATAAAATTTGTTCTTACACAAAATACAATCATGTTTAATTTACTTTTCATTTTAGAATATATATATTCTATCAACTATGCATATCCATTTTAAAAGTTATGTAATTATGCATTATTCTAAATAACGTTGACAATTAAATGCTTGCATTTGATGTATAATTGTGATAAAGGATATTGTATATAGATTTTGTTATATTTTTTAATATTAATAAATGAAATAAAATCATACATCAATATGTTAATAATTAAGAATTGTAAAATAGTTGAATGTAAATTAATATCCGCTTTATATTTAAAATTTTTGTTATATATAATACACGTTCAGTATATTATTAATTTAGCAAGCTTTGGCAAGCATGCTATTCATGTTAAAGTAATAAGATTGCAAATAAGCAATCTATTACCATTTTGGAAATAAAATTATTATATTTTGCAAGTCAGGAAAAGTACTATGTATATAAGTTTTTATTTTTTATATAATGTGCAAAGATAATAAACTGTAAATGAATTTGTACAGTAAATATATATATCGATAATGAATTTGATACGTCAGAAATGATTTATTTACTATCAACGGAACACAGAACAATATACAAAATAATTGATATCTAAGTTATTACATTGAAAAGTTTTCAGTGGAAATATAACTTCTTATTAAGGTTGTTATGAAGTTGCAACAATGGATGCAATTCCATGATGTAGAATAATAATCTTGAGTACAGAGATTTTTCTTCATTATCATTAAAGGAAGTTGTGGGTGTAAAAGTTGAATAACCCCTTTACTGAGATATAGATTATCGTATTTGGTTGTATCAGGGCACATCATAACACTTTCTTTCATTCGTATTTTATATTTTAAAATAAAATTAATTACATATTTAATATTAGTAGCTAGGTTGTGGTTGTTGCGTCAACAATAGGCCAAATCTTCTTTTCATTATAATTCTTTCTCTTGAATATTTGTCCTCTACAGAAAATCGAGCTAAAAAAAAAACATTCAATATCATATCTTTTGTTTTTTTTTTCTACATAAAGTATCTATGTAACAAAAGTGTAAAAATTTACCTGGATGTGCAGACATCGTAGGCTTTCCATTAGGGTCCACTTTCTATAAAAATTTAGCAATTAAAAAAATGAAAAATATAAAATCAAATAAAAAGATTTTGTTAAAAGAAAATTATAAAAGAAATAATGTACAGAATCAGTATTTAAAACGATTACAAAGATATATGTGATAATATATATTTAATTCTATTGTAAATATGCTAATTTATATTGTGCAATATATTTTATCATAATACAGATACGTTCAGGGAGCATTAGCTATATTATTCTATTTTTATTTTAACCCTTTGCTTTATCACGAATGATAAGGTTAGAATAACATAAATAGTACTAATAGCATTTTCGAGAAGGATGCTATATTACCATGGGAAATGATATATTAGATTTTGAGAAGTAATGTATTACTTGTAGCACCATTACTATTATTTTTTATTAGGTAAGGAATTGGTAACGTTATATTTTTTACTAGTAACGATAATGCAGTTACGTTAGGTAATTACACATACCTTTTACGTTACTTTATACACATGCAATAAGTACATGTGTATGGGGCATGTATAAACAAATTTTAAAAGACAGAAAGTGTTATGTTTGACTATATTGCAATTAAACTCATAATTATTTACTTTTTACAATAAATAACTTAATTTTTCTAACCTTATATATATATATATATATATACATATAGTGCAACATATCACAAGAAATTACCTGCAAAGTGTACACTCGGTTTCCTTTGTCGTCCAAATAATACATTAGATACATTTTTGGATATTTCGACTTGCAATCCTTTGCAACTTAACCTCCGTATTGCCGCTTATATCTTCTTTCTTTAATGAATATCTGCCAATACCTGTCTTTAGTGGTATATAATCCGTCCAGCCAAACTGCACGTTTAGAAATAAATGAAAAAATCGGAATCAATCGAAATATCTCAGCTATGGCAAATATAACGTGGTAGAACAGAATATCTCATGAACAATGAATGAAGCACGACAGCCAATAATCTATCCGTTTTTCCGAAAAAGTATTTGATTGGCTGCCGCGCCACTTCTTGCCACGTGGTTGCATGTCGTCATTTCCTGTGTAAACGGCTATTAGCGCGGTATAAAGTCAGTTTGAAGTTTTTGTCTATCATTCTTTTTTTGTTATATTGTACATGCTTTTCGTGCAGCATAGATACACTTTGATATACTTGCTAACAAAATATTTCGAGTATGCTATAAAAAAAAACTGTGTGAAAACCTGTTTACAATTAGTCAACAGGTCTATTCTTTTTATATTCTTTTTGTACTGATCATCTCTCTCTTTCCACATACTTTATCTCTCCAATGTGGAAAGAAAAAGAAGAAAAATGAATAACGCAAGAAGTTCAGCTGAAAAGAAATTAAATGTGTCTCGACAGTTGAAGTTTATCCAGTTGGTTTATGTGTGAAAGTATATGTATGAAGAAATCGATTAATCACAGATGAAAAATAAAGCGTGTCATCTTCTGTAATTATTATATACATAATTGATTTCTTTATAGGTCATGACAAGCAGGAAATTGTTGTACGTAGTCGCAGATCTGTTTTTCTATTTCAACGTAACGAATATGTTTCGAAAAAAGGAATAAAAGATGAGGAAAACATGATGTTTAAGATTCTGCACGATAAGCACATAATTTTTTGGACAGAAAAATTAAAAAATATTTGGATTAATATAATATTACACTATATATATATATTAGGTGTTGGAATTAATTCGTAGCGTTTTACAAGTGATGGGAAGTACTTTCATTAATGTATTTTTTAATGCTCATGTGAAATAAATAACATTCTTTCATTAAAAAACGCTACGAATTAATTCCAACACCTAATATATATATACATACACACGTAATACTTGGATTAATCTGTCAAAAATTTAAAGCAATTTTTCGATTAAAAATAAAATTATTACACCGATTTTTTCGTATAACAAAGATGGTTGGCATTTTTTTTCAGAGAAGCCAAAATTTTAATTTTAATTTTTCGTTCTCAATTCATTTTTTATTTTATTTCTATTTACATCTTATTATTATTCACAGAATAATTATTCTCTAATTCCTTAAATATATTCTTAAAATTTAGAACATGGAATGTTAATTTTTGTAAGAATTATAGATTCAATGTTTGTGTTTATGGGTTAACAATATAAAATAAAAATAGATTGAGAAATTATTTAGTGCTTTAAAGATGTTTATTAGCATCAATAATATTAAATTGCCTGTCAATTTAATTTGTAAGATTATGTGCTCCAGTCTAAGTCTGTATTTCAAGACCGACACAAATATAATCAGTGTGCAATTTGTTTTGAATTAAAAATTGTAAAAATGCCCACAATATATTACTAGACAAGACCCATCTCAATCGAATAATATCGCGCTCTTCACTCATTTATGAGTTAAATTATATGTTATAGTCACAATTCAGAGACTTAAACGGAGCACGCAATATCTCTCGTGAATATCCCTCCGTTTATATTTCAACGTCTTATAATTACCAATTAACCATCCCTTGACAAATGACCGATCCATCGATGATGTTTTCATCCAGGCAGAGAGACCATTTTCGGATTGCTCCGAGAAATCTCAAAGAAAAGCGACTTCAAAATAAAGAGACACTCAAGAGATTGCATGTAGAAGAGCCGACTCGCATGTACCTATACTTATTATCATGTTTATTATCGGGTCTTATGCCGCGTGACAGGTTGCCGGTCGCGAACGTAGGCGTGATGACGTTCTCCGATGATTAGCCGAGAGGCATCCACGGTGAGATTGCACCGGCTGCAGCTGCGGCGAGTACTGAGCATGAATATGTGCGCGTTGATTGACAATTCCTCCTCGTGGTTAGGAGTTGACGTATAGTGGGCACGCGCTCGGACGCGATGGGTGCCCCGTCCGGATAGTCAGTGTCACTTCCGCTTACCAAATCGCTGTCAGTATTTACTGTGTCCGCCGGCTTATCGTCCAGTCCACGACGCCTGGTATAGAACGTTCTCCGAACGAGAAACGAAAGAACGCATTCCTCTCCGATGTTGCGCGGCCGTCTTCAAGGTGAACGATTGTTCCTACAGGAACTTGTCGATTAGGTGCGAAATGATGCGTTCCCCGCGTTGCGAATGTGATTTCGCGGTCACGAGAGTGAATCGAGCGACGATGAGAGATGTGAATTATTGGGATGCTGGGATTACCGGTGCATGGAAAACGGCAACACTTCATGCTGTCATTCACTGCGCGATGATGTTCTGGCTTTTGTTTCCGTTAATGATTATACAGTAGGAAGTGCATAATTTGTCCGCAATTTGTGCGAGTGTGTACAGGTGGAGGTCACTCATAGGTGTTCGTGTAACAAATCGCAATCACACGAGGCTAGCACGCTCGTTGTTTTGACCTCGGTTAATGGATTTTAAATATCAGTTAATGTGATTATTAGGAGAATATTTCTTTGTATGATGATTAATTACAGAAAGTATTTCTCTTTATTGTGATAACTTATCTATAAGTATATCTCGAATTATAAAATAGTTTTCGATAGCTAAATATACATGTACAGATAAAAAAAATTCCACGCACTAAAAAAATATTTATAGCAAATAACAGTTAATGATTCTTAAAGTTTTGTATCAATACTTTGCAATTTAAATCTTGTAATGCAAATTTTTGTGGGTTTAAAATAATTAACAAATTTCTGTTTCAATCAAAGAATAATATTAATATAAATATTTATAGTTTTATTTATACAATCAAAATCTAGTTTTAATTTCAAATACGTGTTAGAAGGAAAATTCGAGAAAGTTAAATTAGTTTTTGAATTAAAATACAATAACGATGCTTGCGATTGCGATTTCCTAGGATTTCAGAAAACTCGAATCGTAAATATTTTCGTGGTAATTTAAAGGTTTGATGAGAATTGTTGTATTACCAATGAAAATAGTGCTTCATTCGTATTATCGATGAACCTTCGTCCATAAAAAATAATCGCGCCGATACCGTCGGCGTCGCGGCGGCCTTAAATCAGCCTTACGCTACTAATCTCATTCAGTCTAGCGGTTAGAATCGCAAATCACGCGACACTTCGCGATTCTTAAATATTGTTGGATTATCGACTACTACGCGGTCGATCGTTTCAGATGCAGCGGAGGAAAATTCGTTGGATTATTCAGATACCAGAAGAATCGCAGCATATTGAGACTGTCGAGCAACAAATTTTAAGTACGAAAGGTAAGAAATTTGAATAACATAAAAATTCAAGAACTACATATCTAGAAGGAATCTAATCTTTTGAAGAGGATCTTAATCTTCTAAAGAGAATTCTAATTTTTTAAAAGTCATGAGAGAGAGAGAGAGAGAGAGAGAGAGAGAGAGAGAATACCATTCTAACAAGTTTGGAAATTTATATTATTTAATTACGCGAGTCTAATGTCAAATAGAAATCGTGCAAGTTATTTAACTTGTACAGTACAAATGCAATTCATTTTTGTTTAATTTAATTTAAATAATCTAAAAATGCATGGAATAAAATTCTTGAAATATAATAAATGTAATAAATTACGCGGAATCGGAAATATAATGTTTGGATGTGTGCCTTTGATTTATGTGTTGTGTAACATTTAAGTAATATGATTTTCTAGTTATAAATTTAGCAATGTTTTCGTCGAAAATGTTTATCTGCAATAAACAACGTGTAAAACCGAAGACAAGATCTTCTACAAGAGATTGATATAAACTTACATAATTTATTACGTATGTAAATAAACGTTCTATGTGCCGAATGCAGTCCTTTCATGAAGCAAAACTGCTGAGTGTAGATATCTTAAATCATTTTAGGCCGATAAGAAAAGGTCGCGACATGAAAATATAGTAAAACATAGACAATCAAACTGATTTTCGATTTGGATCTTCATCTTTTATTAAATTATCATAAGTGGAATTTTATTTAGTAGGATTTTATTTTGTAACTATTTATCACTCGCGATAAAAAAAAACAAATGTTATATAATCAAAATAATAAATATATTCTATAATTTCTAATATAAAAAATAATATATTCTATAATTTCTAATATATCTGTACTTTTGTGAATTATTATAGAATATAATATTCCACAATAATATTGTAGAATAAAATATTCTATAATAACATCGTATTATTTAGTATACAGTTTATTGAAATGATATGTACATTGATATGTATGATATGATATTACACGAATTGACACTATTATAGATACAGAATACATATTATACTTTATACATAATAATGTTAAATTATGTAACATATTATTTCAATAAACTGTATAATTTATAAGTAAAATCACATTCTATTTTATATTATTCTGGTAAACTGTGTTTTATGGAACATTCAATATGTTTGTTTACTTTTAACTTTTATTGTTTTATATATGTTACAACGTACGATAGCTCGATTTTTTATTTTATGTGTTTTTCAGTTACACTCGCTAACGAATACAAATAACAAAATTGTTTGAGAAGAAATATAATTGAAAGAGAGGAATTGTTATCGCGTTGTATATATAATTTTTAGAAGGATTTGTATAAATTCAATCATTTCTGTTGAAATATCTAGCTGAACAATCATGATTAATTTCATTTAAATTATTAAACAAAAAATTAAATAATACTTTTTTAATTTATCTCTTTATTTTGAGGTCGACAGTTTTATGGACTTAAACTTGTGAATAAAAATAAAAAAAAAATGTAGAGAATTTGCTACAAATTAAAATACATGTCACGTCTAGACGGTTGCTAGTAGTGTTTTATTCTATTCATTATGCAAATAAGTCATGACATTGCATGCATGTCGTTTATGTGATTATAAATAGAGATGATCGGCACGCGATCACGCGTTTTACTCCGTTTTCTCCTTTCAACGTAACGTCTTTTTATAGATGATCACTATTGTCTTTTACGACCGTATTAGTTCCTCCGTTGATGGATTACATTGCCCGCGCTCCTTTTCGTTCGTCTTATTAAATTTACTTCGAAACGTGTAAATATAACAGATGGGAACAAGAATGTCCCAATGTTTTGTGGAACGTAAATGATGGTATCAACTTCATTCCGTGTGTTCAACTATTGGCAAATAAATCTCGCGACTGCACTCGGTGGTGGATGTTCTAAGACGCAATCAATGATAAGTCTGTACGAAAAAAAGATTACGTTATCATTCCTTATCTATATATTATAACTTTATTTTTTAAAAGTTTAAATATGCACGATATGAACTGTAATATATAAAAAATTAAAAAACTGAAAACTTTTAAAATGAATCTCATTCTGAAGAATGAACTCTCTTAAAGATTGAAAATTGAGCTACTCTTTCTGGCACAATTTTCAGTCTTTGATGTGAAATTCCACTTCAAAGAATTTAGAGAATATGAAAGAAGATTTATCGGCAAGCATGCACTAATATTATAGGATTTGACCAAATATTAATAACATCTGCCAACAGATGTGCTTTGAGTTTGACATTTTAACAAGTCAGTTATGTCAAATACCAAGAAGGTATTTGATGCGTCGGCGCTAACTTCTACAGAGATCACCCGCAGGGTCGAAATCTGGTATACCGTGCAGTGTCGCGATGGGCTGCGTCCCATGAGGTCGTTCCGAGTTATGGAAAGTCCGATGCGCTCTTATTATAGAAGTTCCCTTGCTTTATAGCCGCGATAGATTATCTGTGGACCACTACTCGGGAACGACAAGTGTTCTTGACAGGAGCGAGTAAAATTAACAATTAGAATGTGAAGTTTTTTCAAATAGTATTTGCAAAACATATTATCTCTACAGTAAGAAGAATTTGCATTGCTAGGACACTCCGAGTGATTTTACCTTTCACTGTTAGTAAATGAGAGGAATTTGTAATCCCTTTATGCTGCAAAGTCAGCGATTTTTGCATAATTGTCTTATTGTTCTGTATTTTATTACATTATAATTTTTTTTTGGTTCTACATAATTTTTTATTGTAAGATAATCATTTTATTCGTGAAATTTTCATCCTTTATTAATTCTAGAAGTGCGAAAATAACAAATATATATGTATAATTGTATATTAACATTTATATTATATATAAAGGAATTATTCATATGTTATATTATCAAACCAATGATGATGGGCGATATAAAGGCATTTTTTTATCTCGATTAAATAGACGATTACATCTCTTATTTCATCGTAATTACTAATATGACTCTGGTCGTTTTAAATCACAATGCACGGATGTAATCAATGGACAGTCATTTATATCGAGATGATAAACATATGTGCCTGTGCGCGTGTAACACTCATTTAATTATTATATAATTATGAAAAGAATATTACAAAATTTTCTATATATTTTGAATTATTAATTTATTCAGAAGAATTTCAGAGAATTAGAAAGTAAAAAGTCAAATTGTAAAATAGCAGTTATTTTAAATAAAATTATGAGGTACGTAATATATTTAATTTTAATAGATTTTGTATAATTATATTACGCTGTATAAAATTTATTATGTATGTATTATTTAATTACAAGTTGTTTTTCGCTCCAGACAGATGTTGTTCAATTAATGTTCAATTTACTGATAGTAAATTGTTATTTTATCATAGTTTTTACGTTAATAAATTTGTTAATAATTTGCTGTATCAAAATTGACACTCGCAATGCGAACGACTATGAAAAATGCACGGCATTGAAATAATAAAAATATAATCAAGGACTGTGGTGGAAATATATCTCTTCGCAAACTTTGTCTATGTGAAGAAAAATTAATACAGAATGGACGATGATATATGTGAGTACAATAATCAATGATCTTAGTACATTTTTTATATTGCACGTTTTTTTATTGTTGATTTTTAATATATACTAATTTTTTTATGGCAATATAATTTCTATTATAATTTTGTAAAATTAAAATAATCATTCCTTTATTTTTCAAGACAATATCGAGAAAAAATTCGATACAGAAGATTTTATTTCTGTTTTAATATTATTAGTGTTGCCTAATGTAATAATTATTTTTCATCATTTATAAATTATCATAAATACACAAAAAATATTATTTACCAATTTTATTCGTTGATTTACATTTCTTGTGTATTTAGAAGAATCTGTACAAAATTATCATAAATTATATATTTCGCTTCTGCGCTTCTAAAACCGCAAAGGATTAATAAATCTGATTTAACTCTTATCTTTGTGTAGTAATGATATTATCTTCCTTCTGTGGTCGGAAATAGTTAAGAAACTAAGAAAGTATAATAAAACATAAATTCTCTAACAAATATGACATTTTATTCAAAGTTTTAATAAAACAAGTTTTGAAAACGGGAGAGTAGAAACCAGCTTTGTCGAACAGAGCGAGATTATAACTTATACCTTTCTTTATTTACACGCAGTAATATTTTAAGTTATTTTAAATGCAAGGCGATGTTGCAACGAGAATGCTAGAAAAGATAATCATGGCATTGTTTTCATATTGGGAAACCTTTGTTCTAAATAGACTAAGTATTCTTTGGTCAACGGAATGTTTACTTTCTCTTGTTGAAAGTAACATGCTTTTGATGTAATAAAACTGTATTATTTCTTGTGTGTTAGAAAAATATGTATGCTTTTATGTAAGAGCTTTCGAAGACGTTATTGATTTTCTGCACAAATTGATTTTTTAGTATCGTTAAAATTTTATTTAAGTTGCAGGAATTGTTTACAGTTATAAAATTATTTTAAACACATGCTTATATATTTAGATAAAAGTTGTATTTTGAAATTTTGAAATTGTTTAAAAGATATTATGATTAAGTATTTATATAAAAGACGTTATAAAACAAAAATAACTTTTCCATCGTATATCGTTTCAGTATATTATGAAATAGGATATTTAAAACTACTATTATGACTGATTATGTACATTGAGCGCAAATACAATAGTTAATCACAATAATATTATTGTAAAAAAGACTGTGTCATATCTCTCGCAAAATGTACGTGTCGCAGAAGAAAAGAAGACACATTTTCAGGGAATTGCGGTAGTTTTCTAGCTCCCGTGCAATCTCGTGTAAGTTCTGTAAGTTCGGAAACAGCGAGAGGCTATCTCTCGAAATTGCGCTAGTGGACGAGCAGACAGAGATATTTGGCGATGAATGGCGTGAAGGTATTTGTCCGTTATCGCTGTAACTTTTCTGATATTAGGTTCTGTTAGTAATTTGGCTACCACAGGATA